AATAGTGCCCTCGGTGCAGCCATTCTTCTGTCAGGAATCTCCTCCATTACGGAGGGTTCAAAACCAACTTCTAGAATTCAAGAGAAGTGTCTTTACAAATTTATCTCCAGAAAAGCAGGCCTTATCTTCCCTTAGATAAGCAAGCAAATACTCCAAATAGGTATACCAAAATATGTGGCTTCCGGGGTTACTTTCTGGAGATACTCTACAAAACATAATCAAAGAATGTGAGAAAATGCGCATAATACCTCCCTCCTAGAAATTCAGAAGGCATCTTAACAAATTTAAAGAATGCTAAGAGGCGGTTATTTACTGCCATAAAGAAATCTGTTTTACTTGGTTTGGCCTGGTATGTCCCGAATGTATTAGACCATAGATCTAAGTTCTCCCCAGATGGAGGAAACATGCTTTAGAATTGCTTTAAGAAATCTCTAACTTACAGCCTTGTATACAAAGATGTTAACTATAAAGACATGAACTTTTAATGTGGTTTTCCTTGTTCAGCCAATGATATCTGAAGTAAAACATCTTAAATCTCTAGTCAAAAGATCTATATCAAATGTCCTTAAGGTCAACGATAACATTACATTTAGGTACTATTCAGAAACTACATAGACAAAGCTCCTAAAAAGTGAGTTTTTAGCTCTTCTCACTGATACAGTCAAATAATTTCTCAAATAATCTTAAAATTGGACACCACTGCTTAACTATTCATTTAATTCATAGCTGAGGTTGTAACTTCAGAGTGAAAAATTATTGAACTGGTGTCAAGTTTAAATCTTCACACTACCATTTGACAGGTATGTTTGGTTGAATACTATCCTCCAAAAAACCATGTCCACCCAGAAACTTAGCATATGACCTTATTTGGGGAAGGGTCTTTATAGATGAAATTAGTTGAAATGAGGTCATAGTGGATTAGAGTGGGTGTTAAACCTAGTGACTGGTGCTCTTATAAATATAGAAACACAGAGACATACAGAGAAAAAGGCCACATCTGAAGACTCAGAGAGACATGAGAGGCCACGTGGAAACAGAGGCAGAAAGTGGAGTTATGCTGCCACAAGTCAAGGAATGCCAGAGTCACCAGAAGCTAGAGGAGGCAAGGAATGATTTGCTCCTAGAGACTTCAGAGAGAGCATGGCAGTGATGACATCTTGATTTTGGACTTCTAGTCTCTGCAATTTTCAGAGAATAGATTTAAGCCAAAATATTATGGTCCTTTGTTATGGCATCCTAGGAAGCTAATACAACAGCTATGTGAGTTTCAAAGAATTAGCAAACTTTCCTGAGCCTTATTTTGCTCATCTATAAAATGAAAATAACAATACCGACCTTCCAGGGGTTTTCATAAGGGTGAAAGGTTGTGAATATGTGCACAGTGCCTGGCACATAGGAGGATCTCTATTCATTCATTCTTTCAGTATATATTGACCAAGCACCTGCTTTGTGCTAGGTGATGAGGATATGGTAGGAAAAAAGCAGATAAGGTAATGACCCTTAAGAGGATTGACAAACAATGGCCCACAAGCCAAATGGATTTCTTTTTTTTTTCTTTTTATTTTTTATGAATAAAGATTATTATGGAACACAGCCACACCCATTATTTATGTACTATCTGTAGCTGCTTTCATGCTGCAATGGTAGAGTTGAGCAGATGCAACAGGGACCATATGTCTCACGAAGCTTAAAATATTTACTATCTACCTCTTTACAGAAAAACATTTGTTGACCCCTGCTCTAGATGCTGACAGTACAGGTGCAGGAGACAGGCATAAATAAATAAACACACAAGAACAGTTAGGGTATGATAATTACTCTGGAAAATAACTTTCCAGATATAAGAGAGCATCTGTGGGAAGATAAGTAGTCATGGAAGTCCTGAGAAGGGGTTCTGGGAGTAGAGATTTGATGGATAAAAAAGAAACTAGCCTAAAAAGAGCTTAGCACAGAGTGTTAATCTCTCTCTGCGCGGCCCGGGAGGCGGCGGGCGGGGGCGCCGGTGTGCGCGGGTGTGAGCGTGCGAGCGTGTGAGTGTGGCCGCGGCGCTGCGGCGGCCCGGCGTGCGCCCGCGCGGCCCTGTGTGTGCCCGGCGCCGGCGTGTGCGGCGTCCTGCTTGTGTGGCCATCCGGGTGTGTGCCGGTGTCGGGCGAGCTGGTGTGTCCGCTGCGCGCGTGTGTCCCCGCGAGCGGCCGCCCGTCCGCCTGTGTGTCTGGGGGCTGTCGCGCGCCCATCGGAGGGGCTGTGTGCAGGTGTGTGTGCGTGGGTTGTGTGCCCAGGTGTGGGTCCCCCAGCCGGTGTGTGCGCGCGGTTAGCTGCGTTGGGTGTTTGTGTCCGGGTTGGGTGTCCATCCGAGGGTCTGTGTAGCCACCCGGGTGTGCCCGCCCGGGTGTCCATTTGTGTGTGTGTGTGTGTGTGTGTGTCTGCGGTTGTGTGTCTCCGAGGGTGTGTATCTGTGCGTCCACGTCAGGTTCCCAGCTGGGCGGCCGAGGCTCGGCGCCTGGTGGGTCCAGGCCTCTGTGTGGTTTGGGGGAGGGGAGTCCGCCGCTCTCTCCGTCCGTGTCCATGTCAACTGGGGGGTCCTCAGCGGTCCTGGGGGAGGCGGCCATGTCTTCCCCTTCCCGGTGGCTGGGTGGGGGGATGGGCGGCCGGGAGGTGGACAGATGGAGGGAGGATGAGAGGCCGAGGGATGGACAGATGGGCCCCGGGGTGGGGGTGGGGGCGAAGACCTGGCCCTTCCCCACCCACCCCACCCTAATTCCACCACCGGCCAGATATCTGCAGACAGGGCCAGAGTTGCCTGCGTCCTGTTGGCCAGCCTGGGGGGCCTTTGGGGCTGCTGGGGGGGGATCTCCTTGGAAGGGTGCTCTAGGACTCAACTCCCAAACCCTCCGAGATTCATCTGCTGAACTCTGACCTCTGGCCCCAGCTTGTGCCCTGGTGTGGGGTGGCGTGTAGATGGCGCCCGGAGGGGTGTTAGGATTTCTTTGGCCTGGGAAGCAGGTGGGGTGGGGGTGCCTCTGGGCTGGGAGGGATGCGTGTCCACGCCTGGGTGTGAGCCGAGCGTGAATCTGGGTCTGTCTGTTGACTGTGCTGCTGTGGGTCGGTGTTTTGTGTGCATGTGTAAGTGTGTAAATGTCTCCCAGGACTGTCGTGTGAGCATGTGTCTGCTGTGAGTGAACATCCTGGAGTCTGAAAAGGTGAATCTTTGTGTGTCTGTGTGCTTGCTCCAGTATGTGGCAGCCTCCCGAGTGTCTGTGTGTGTCTGTGGTCCTGTGTGTGTGTGTGTGAGGTGTGTATCGGCCGGTGTGTGCAGGTGTGATCTGTCGGTGTGGGAGTGTAGCAGCTTTCTGACTGCACCATGGGAATAGAAGAAGTTGTATGAGTGTGTTTGGGCATTTTTAGAGTGTGCACCTGTGTATTTTTGATTGTGCAGGTGTGTCTCTGTTATATGTGTGTGCCCCTGTGTGTCGGTGAGTGTGCAAAGTGTGTGTGTTATACGTGCATGTACCTGGTTGTCTGTTAGGGGGCACATCGGTTTCTCTGTTGTATCTGTGCATCTGTGTGTGTGAACATGCAAAGGCAAGTCTGTGTTTACGTGTGTTGTATGCAAGTGTGTCCACCTTGAAGGTATGCGTCCATCTGTGTTGTGAGTCTGTTTGTGCTTCAGTGTTGGTCTCTGGGGAGTGGGGTTGTGTATGTTCAAACATGTATGTTCAGGACACACAAGCCTGTGCTCCTGGCACAGGGCTGACCCTACTTCTGGGCCCCATGGGATTGAGGCTCATGTGGCGTTACCTGTCTACACTGGGGTCCCTGGACACAAGTGTGTCCACATCCCAGGCCCAGTGTCCATGGAGGGTGGGGAGCACACAGATCGTGCTGGTGTGTCCGTGGAAATCCAGATGTAGAGACTTGGGTTGTGGGCCCGTGTGGGTTTTGACATGTCCACTCACGTTGGGCGTGGGCAATGGTGTGATGACAGGGACGGACACCTCTGGCCCTTCCCCAGCTCCTGGTGCTTGGACATTGAACTCTTGGATTCTGAAGGTCTGGACTCCTGGATCTGAGGGAGGGAGGGGCTGGGTCCCAGACTCTAGGATCTCGAAGGAGGAAGGGGCTGGGGTCCTTGGCTCCTGAGACCCCAGAGGGTAGACAAAGAGCTCAAGTCCTGGATTCCTGGGTTTTGGAGGGTGAACAGTCCTGAGGCCCAGTCTCCTGGGTTTTCAGAGATGACTTCTGGGTCCCTCTGAGACTGTGCGGAGCCTGCAGCAGGAGGACTGAGAGAGTGATCACACTAGGGACTTCCTTGGCGGGTATGGTCTCTGAGGCAGGACCTGGTACCCAGAGAAGAGCCACAGGATGCTAACAAGGTGATTTGGTCCCTTTGCAGGTACTGGCCCAGGCCCTGACTCCCTGAAGAGAGGTGAGTGGAGCCCTAAGATTGGGTAGAGAGATGTGGGGTGATGGACTTGCCCTGAGCCCCCTGCCTAGCATGGATTTCAGTGCAGGGTATAACAGTGTCCCAAGGGACCAAATGCCTCTGCCCCCAGGCTGGGGAGTGGTGACAAGGTCAGAAGCATCATGGGTGGGTAAGGGCTCATGGTGGCTGGGAGGTTCTCCAGGGCAGGTGGGGGGCTCAGGCCAGGAGGGGTCCCCTCTCAGGATGGGGAAGGCGGCGTGAGCATTTCAAGACATAAAATGACCCTGGCCTTGGAGAGTTGAGTGGCTGTGCTTTAGCGTTGTGTGTGTGCGTGTGCATAGGTGTGGGGAGATGTTCTGACAGCCTGACCTGCTGGTGGCCGAGCAAGCTGGAGAAAATAATAAATCAATAATAATAATAGCAGCAGCTGGCATTTACGTAGTGCTCAACTTGTCAGGAACTATTCTAAGCATGTTACGAAATATTTTCTCATTGACTCTTCCCAACAACCCTAGGAGGTAGGCGCTGTCATCAGTCCCATTTTACAGATGAGCACGCTGAGACACAAAGAGGGGAAGTCACTTGACTAAAAGTCACACAGCGGGGAATTGGGGTGTGAACCTGGCCAGCAGGGTCCAGATTCTATCCTGCCATGATGCACTGCCTCTCAATCAATGGTGGCTATTTTCATTGCTATTATTCCTTAATATGAGCCCCAGCCCAGCGGCGGGAGGCGGAGCTCTGTGCTCTGTTTCCTAGATCCGGGTTCTGAGCCCTGGAGACCCCACAGCCGAGCAGGTGCAGAGCTGGGGCCCCTGGCTCTGGAGTCCCCCTTCCCAGGCCAGGGTTTTCAGTATGATACAGGGCAGTGTCCTACAGGGAGTGAAGGACAAATTGGGGGGCAGGTGGGCGGAGACTCAGGGATGGTGGGACACCATGACCCTGCCTCTTCTTGTCTGTTTCAGCCGGGGCCCTGTCTCTCTGTCTCTTTCTCTCTCTTACCCTCGCTGTCTCTCCCTCCCTTCCTCTCTCCATCTCTGCGTCTCAGTCTCTCTTCTCCCTGTCTCCTTCACTCTCAGTTTTCTACCTCTTTTGGCTTTGGTCTCCCTCCCTCTCTCTTCACTTTCCTTTTAGACTCTGCTTTCTGTCTCTCTGTCCCTCACTCTCTCTGCCCATCCAGCTCTCCCTCCCCCTTGCCTGTCCCTGTCTCTCTTCACCTCTCTGCCTGACCCTGTCCCCCTTCCCCATGGGCAGAGAGATCAAGGCCACTTAAGGCCACGTCCCCAAATACAGATTCCCAGGAGGTGGGCCGGCAGGGGCTGGGGTGCAGGACAGGGTGGGGTGAAAACAGTTTCGGGGACGCCCCCTTCCCATCCTTTCCTTTCACCCCACACCCACCCGGTGTTGTGATGGGAGCTGACGTGTCGTGGGCTGCCGCCGCCGCAGGGGGAATCCCCGCTGGAAGGTTTTGCCTGGAGCAGAGGCATAGTGTGAGTGTGAGTGTGAGTGTGCATGTGGCACGTGTGGGGCCTTGTGTGTTCCCACTGACGGGAGCATGAAAGTCCACCCTGCTTGGGAGCTCAGCTGAACCTGGGATGAAACCAGACCTGGAGAAGGACTTCCTGGGGCTGAGCTGGGAGACTCTGGGGGTGTTTCTCAGCCCCTCCCACCTTCACACGGTCTCTGCCACTGCCAAGGTTGGGAGGGCGGAACTTTAACATTTATTGGCTACTTACTGTGTGCCAGGCCCTGTCTGTGTTCAGTGGTTCATGAACTCAATGAAGATGGCACAATTCTCATCCCAGTTTATAGATCAAGAAATTATAGTCTAGTTAGAGGAAATCACTGGTTTGGGGTCACAAAGCTAGCAAATGGGAGAACCAAGATTTGAACCTGAATCTGTTTGATTTCAAAGCACTTGCTCTTTGAAATAACAGTGCACAGTTTTACACCTGGTACATATTAGGCACTTGATGATGATGATGATGATTGCTAACATGTATTAAGCACATTTTATGTGCCGGGCACTGTTCTAAGTACACCATGTTCATTAATCAATTTAGTCCTCACAGAAGTAAGGCCTGTTTCTATCTCCATTTTACAGATGAAGAAACCGAGAATCAGAGAGGTTCAGACACTTGCCCGAGGTCACACAGTTAGTAAGTATCGGAGGTGGGACTTGAACCCATGGAATACTGTTTTGACATCCATGGCCTTGCACCATAGTTAACAGTGGTTTTCAAAATATTTAGTGGGTACTGGAGGGCACAGGCTGGGCCAGGTGTCACCCCTCTGGCTGGGAGATCATGAGAGGTCTGGGAACCCCTAGGGGAGGGGCAGAGGTGCGGGTACAAGACTCAAGGTAGGGGCAGTGGTAATTTACCAAGCAGCGTGCACATGTAGTCTGCCAGCTGATGATGAGTCTGTCACTGTCCTGTAGCACCCAGTCGTGCATGTTGGGTGGGGGTCCCGGTCTGACTCCTAGCAGGACGCCCTAGGGTGGTCAGGCTGGGGGCCCAGCCCTGCGCCTGGGTAACCAGCTGCTCCCCTTGCAGGTCTCACCCCCCACTCCTCCTGCCTTCCCCGCGCGCCATGGCTCCGGGCCCCTTCTCCTCGGCGCTGCTCTCGCCGCCACCCGCTGCCCTGCCCTTCCTGCTGCTGCTCTGGGCGGGGGCGTCCCGTGGCCAGCCCTGCCCCGGCCGCTGCATCTGCCAGAACGTGGCGCCCACGCTGACCATGCTGTGCGCCAAGACGGGCCTGCTCTTCGTGCCGCCCGCCATCGACCGGCGCGTGGTGGAGCTGCGGCTCACCGACAACTTCATCGCGGCCGTCCGCCGCCGAGACTTCGCCAACATGACCAGCCTGGTGCACCTCACCCTGTCCCGCAACACCATCGGCCAGGTGGCGGCCGGCGCCTTTGCCGACCTCCGTGCCCTGCGCGCCCTGCACCTCGACAGCAACCGCCTGGCCGAGGTGCGCGGCGACCAGCTCCGCGGCCTGGGCAACCTCCGCCACCTGATCCTCGGGAACAACCAGATCCGCCGCGTGGAGTCGGCCGCCTTCGACGCCTTCCTGTCCACCGTGGAGGACCTGGACCTGTCCTACAACAACCTGGAGGCCCTGCCGTGGGAGGCGGTGGGCCAGATGGTGAACCTGAACACCCTCACGCTGGACCACAACCTCATCGACCACATCGCCGAGGGGACCTTCGTGCAGCTTCACAAGCTGGTCCGCCTGGACATGACCTCCAATCGCCTGCATAAACTGCCGCCCGACGGGCTCTTCCTGCGGTCCCAGGGCGCGGGGCCCAAGCCGCCCACGCCGCTGACCGTCAGCTTCGGCGGGAACCCGCTGCACTGCAACTGCGAGCTGCTCTGGCTGCGGCGCCTGACCCGCGAGGACGACCTGGAGACCTGCGCCACCCCCGAGCACCTCACCGACCGCTACTTCTGGTCCATCCCCGAGGAGGAGTTCCTGTGCGAACCCCCGCTGATCACGCGGCAGGCGGGGGGCCGGGCGCTGGTGGTGGAGGGCCAGGCCGTCAGCCTGCGGTGCCGAGCGGTGGGGGACCCCGAGCCGGTGGTGCACTGGGTGGCACCGGACGGGCGGCTGCTGGGGAACTCCAGCCGGACCCGGGTCCGGGGGGACGGGACGCTGGATGTGACCATCACCACCTTGCGGGACAGTGGCACCTTCACTTGCATCGCCTCCAACGCCGCGGGGGAAGCGACGGCGCCGGTGGAGGTGTGTGTGGTACCTCTGCCGCTCATGGCGCCCCCGCCGGCTGCCCCGCCGCCTCTCACGGAGCCTGGCTCCTCGGACATCGCCACGCCAGGCCGCCCGGGTGCCAACGATTCAGCGGCCGAGCGCCGGCTGGTGGCGGCCGAGCTCACCGCGAACTCGGTGCTCATCCGCTGGCCGGCGCAGAGGCCGGTGCCCGGCATCCGCATGTACCAGGTCCAGTACAACAGCTCTGTGGATGACTCCCTCGTCTACAGGTGGGTGCTGCAGTCCCAGGACCCCTCCCCAGCCCAGGGGCCCTGCCTCCCACCTGCCCGTTCCCCCGCCTCTTGCTCAGGGGGGTTCTAGATGGCGGCTCAGAGTGGTCCCGGCCCTGGTTCACCTCCTCTTTCCTCTATTTCTATCTCACTGTCTTTATTTTTCATGCATTTGGCAAATATTTATTGAGGACCTACGTGAGCCAGACCAGGGCCAGGCACTGGAGTGATAACAGTGGCTGAGCCCGCCATGATCCCTGCTCTCACGGGCCTGGTCGTGGTCACTGCCTGCCAGAGGGGTCTGATTGTGTACCTGGCCACCTAAGCATTCTAGAGCACGAGATACACTCGCACATCTGGAGTTACATTTTACTTACAAGTTACATATCAGTGCTACTGTACCAGCACGTTTGGTACATTATAGAAACAGCAAACAAAAACTATGAGAAAAGTATAAGTTATTTCCATTCTCTCTTGGGTTAGAAGCCAGTACTGTAGTGTGGACAGATCTGTGTGATGTAGACAGACAGAAAAAAAGTTACTTTCTCCCACCATCTCCATTATAGAGAATAATGCTCCCGCCTCGCTGTCTCTGCCTTCTCTCCCTCCTAGAGGCACTGAGCCCCTCTCCGTACTAGGCCCTGAGCTGGCTGCTTGGGGACACAGACTAAGAGACCCAGTCCCTGCCCCAGGGGAGCTCACAGCCCAGTAGGAGGAGGCACTGAGTAAACGCCTCTCTTTTCCCCTTGTCTCTGTCTTCTTCGTTTTCCTCTATTTTTTTTTTTTTATTCTGATCACCAAGCACTGAGTAGATGCCTACTGTGTGCCTGATCCTGTGCTGGCCCCGGGCCTGCCGAGATGGATCAGACCCCAGCCCAGTCGTGTGCACATCAGGGCAAACAGACGAACACAACAAAAACCTTCCCAAGGGACTTCCGAGGTCGCTGCCTCCCTTGATCTTCCCAGCCCTGCTGTGGAGCGGTGATGATCCCGCTCCCATTCCACAGACAGGAAAGTCGAGGCTCAGTGGGGAAGTCACTTGCCCAAGATTACACAGGCAGTAGCAGGGCTGTCATTTTTATGCCGAACACACATTTATTGAGCACCTACTGTTTTCCAGACAGGGATGGATAGTATATTTCTATAAATAAGTCCCTGTTTCTGTGATTCTCTACCTCTCTGTTTCTCTCTTTCCTTCTCCCTGGCCATGGCCACCACATGGCGGGGTAGGGGAGGGTTCACAGGCCCCCAGCCCCTGCATGTAAGCAGATGTTGATGGGCCCCATCCCCAACTGGGCAGCAGACCCTGGGACTCTTCCCTTTTCCTCAGGCCCACAGTTCTGGTCCTCCATTCCAGATGCCTGCGCTGTGGCACTGCAGGGGTTAACCTCCTCGCTGCTGCCATGGGCGGAGGAGACATCCAACCAGAAGCCTGCTTAGCTGCTTGCTTGGGTCTTGCAGCCAATTAGAGGCACATGGGCTGAAGCTTTCTTAAGGAGCCAGCCTGTCCTTGAAAAGGGGGAGCCCCTAGCAACTGCTTCTTTAGGCGAAGGAGCAGGAGGAAGCCAAGGTTCTCAGAAGAGGGGAGAGGAGGAGAGGAAGGGGAAGACCTGAAACCAGGGTGATCAGGGCCGGGTGGCATGGCCAGTGAAATGCCAGGCAGGGGTCGTTGGAAAAGTGGGTGGGCCCTTCTGAAGGGGTGGGGCCCTTGAAGTCTTTTGGTTGGAGGGTGGTGGCTTTTGGTGGTGGGGGGACCTCTCAGCGGTGAGATGACTGAGGCGGGGCTTCAGGACCAGAAGGTGGCCCTGCTGGAGGGGAAGGTAAAGCTACTGAGAGAAGCAGGCTGTGCGGATGGGGGTGTGGCCTTTCAGAGGAGGTGGAGCTTGTGCGACATGGGTCCAGGCAGAGGAAGGGGCAGTCCTTGTCTCTGGTGACCCACTAAGAGCCTTTGCAGGGGAAGAGAGCTTGGGAGGTCTCATAGGTAGGGAGAAGTGTCATGGGCAGAGCTTGAGCCACTGCAAGAGTTACTGGTCAGCACTGGGTGGGATGCAAGCTAATCATGACATTATTAAGTGCCAGGCTTTGGATATATTAACTTATTCACCCTTATTCACCTCTCATACCATCTCTATGAGGTAGGAATTCTTATTATCCTCATGGGGGGAAATGAGGTACAGAGAGGTTAAGAAATTTGTCTGAGGTCACAGAGCTAGCAAGAGGCAGAAGAGAGATTCAGACCCAGGCAGTCTGGCTCCCAGATGTTGTCAGCTTAACCCCTTCTCTGTACTGAGCCTCATTCGAGGGTAAGGGTTGAGAACAAGAAAGGAGCATTGTGCTTGCATGGCTACATCTGCCCCAATTATGGCTGAACTTTACCTGGGATCATGATTTGGTGACTTCTAGTGGTACAGGGCTGGACATGCAAATAAGGAGCGGTTGCCGCTAATATCTGGACAAGGAGCCTGACCACACAGAGCGGACAGGGTCCTAAGCACAGCAGGGGATCCGTCCCCTAGTGGGCCACTGGGGGGTGTGGCCCCTTAATGAATGGGAATATTAGATGAGGGGCTGGGAAATTGTGCAGAAAATAGACAAAGCTAGATGTTTTCCCCAGAGGCGGGGCGTGCAGATGAGGGGGAGTGACCTGTGGCTTGGTTTCCCCTGAAAGGCAGGAGTATCTATAAAAGAGGGACGAAAAGAAAACAGCATCCATTGTCGCAGTAGGAATAAGACAAAGGCTGTGAGTTGACCTCAGTGTCCCCCTGAGTGGAGGTGGTGCATGCAGGTAAGGGGGGTGGCATGCAGCATCTGTCCCCTTAAAGGGCAGAAATATGCAGATGAGGGAGCTTGAATGGCAGTTGTCCTAGTAGGCCTGAGAGGCTACTGGAGGGCATGTCCCTTGAGGCCCGCGCATAAAAGCTACAGCACTGCTTTTGTTCTAGTAGAGTCGAAAAAATAAAAAGAAAAATAAAGTAAAATAAAAAGCTACAGCACTCCTCCGCTGCCCCCGGGCTAGGATATGTAGATAAGGCAACGTGAATGGCAGATACTTTGACTGTGGAAGCCGAGGGAGCCTGGAGGGGTGGCAGGGGCGGGGCATGCAAATGAGGGGCGGGGCCTGTGGCAGCCGTCCCGAGAGGGTGGGATGTGCTGGCGGCAGCGCTTGAGTGGCAGCTGCGGTCTCAGCGGCGGGTGAGACACCCCCCGCCCCGTTCACCCAGTAGGGCCTAAAGCCAAGGGGCGTGGCTCGGAGCCGGGCTAACTCGGGCCTGATCCCGCCCCTCCTGCAGGATGATCCCGTCCACCAGCCAGACCTTCCTGGTGAACGACCTGGCCGCGGGCCGCGCCTACGACCTGTGCGTGCTGGCGGTCTACGACGACGGGGCCACCGCGCTGCCGGCCACGAGAGTCGTGGGCTGCGTGCAGTTCACCACGGCTGGGGATCCGGCGCCCTGCCGCCCGCTGAGGGCCCACTTCTTGGGCGGCACCATGATCATCGCCATCGGAGGGGTCATCGTCGCCTCGGTCCTCGTCTTCATCGTTCTGCTCATGATCCGCTACAAGGTGTACGGCGACGGGGACGGCCGGCGCGCCAAGGGCGCCTCCCGGTCGCCGCCGCGGGTCAGCCACGTGTGCTCGCAGACCAACGGCGCGGGCGCGGCGCCGGCCCCCGGCCTGCCGGCGCAGGACCGCTACGACTCGCTGCGCGAGGTGGAGGCCCCGACGGCTTCCACCGTCGCCGTCGAGGCGAAAGCCGCGGCGGCCGAGGCGGCTTCCGCGGAGCCGGAGGCGGTCCTCGGACGCTCGCTGGGCGGCTCCGCCACCTCGCTGTGCCTGCTGCCATCCGAGGACACTTCCGGGGAGGAGTCTCGGGCGGCCCTGGGCCCTCGCCGGAGCCGCTCCGGGGCCCTGGGGCCGCCGGCTTCGGCGCCCCCCACTCTGGCGCTGGTTCCGGGGGCGGCCCCGGCGCGGCCGAGGCCGCAGCAGCGCTATTCGTTCGACGGGGACTACGGGGCGCTCTTCCAGAGCCACAGTTACCCGCGCCGCGCCCGGCGGACAAAGCGCCACCGGTCCACGCCGCACCTGGACGGGGCCGGAGGGGGCGCGGCCGGGGAGGATGGAGACCTGGGGCTGAGCTCCGCCAGGGCGCGCCTGGCCTTCACCAGCACCGAGTGGATGCTGGAGAGTACCGTGTGAGCGGCGGGCGGGCGCCGGGACGCCTGGGTGCCGCGGACAGACGCCCAGCCGCGCGGACGCCGGGGCGGGATGCGGGACACGGCGCAGCGGAGGCTCCTGACTGCGGGAGTGACGCGCGCCTCTCCCGCGCCACCCTTTCCCCGGCAGGGGCGGGGCTGCCGCAGGCTGCGGCTGGGCCACGGCCCCGCGCCCAGGGGGTTGGGGCGGGTCGCCGGCCTCCCCTCCCCCACGGACTCCTCGCTCCCCTCCTGCCCCTCCCCCCGCGCGCTCGCGGACCTCGCTGGAGCCGGTGCCTTACACAGCGAAGCGCGGGGAGGGGCAGGGCCCCCCGACACTGCAGCACTGAGACACGAGCCCCCTCCCCCAGCCCGGCACCCGGGGCAGGGGCGAGGGGCCTATTTCTTGTATCTGGCTGGACTAGATCCTATTCTGTCCCGCGGCGGCCTCCAAAGCCCCTCCCCCGCCCCCACTAACATCCCTGGTCCCGTCGGGTCTGGCTTGGGGTCCCCCTTTCTCTGTCCTCCTCGTCTGTCTCTGTTCTGCCCTCTGTCGTCTGTCTTGCGTCTCTGTTCTTCCTTAATTGTCTCTCCTTTCTCTGTCCCGTCGTCTCTTGTCACTCTGCTGTCCCTTACTTTGTCCAGTCTCCCCCGTTTCTTCTCCCCACTAACCATTCTCCCGGGCAGGTCCCACTGGAAGGACCAGACTCTCCTCTATTCCTTCCTCGTACCCCAAATAAATCCCCACATGAACAAAAATCCAAAACCAAATCCCCCTCCTTACGGGAGCTGGGACCCTCCGCCGCAGCAGAATTAAACTTTTTCTGTGTCTGAGGCCCCGCTGACCCGTGTGTCCGTGTGTGCGCGCCTTGCGGGGAGGGTGGCCCAGATCGCAGCGTGAGGACTCTACGTGAGACCGGAGGACGGTGACTAGCTGGGGCCAGGGAGACTGGCAGAGAGCTGCCTGCCCCTCCGAGAGACTTAGAGGTGGGGAATAATAACAGAAATAAAGTGTTCGCAATAGCTAACACTTAGTGAATGCTTCCCACGTGCCAAGCACTTAAGTCGTTTAACCCTTACGACAACCCTAGGACACTCTGTTTTACAGGTGAGGAAACTGAGGCCCAGAAAAGTTAAATAACTTGCTCAAGGTGGCAAAAGTGGGATTTAAAAAGGCAGGCAGCCGGGGCCGGGGGAAAGCTTCCCCTCTGCCTTCTGAAGGTTTGCTGAAATGCACTGACAACAGACAAGTCGAGGAAAAGTGATTATCCAATAACCCAGTGAGGTGCTTTTTTTTTTTTATTGCTTTGTTATTTTTTTAGAGACGATGTCTACTCTGTTGCCCAGGCTAAAGTGAAGTGGCACCATCGTAGCTCACTGTAAGCTCAAACTCCTGGGCTCGAGCAATCCTCCTGCCTCAGCCTCCCCAGTAGCTAGGACTACAGGTGCGCACCACCACACCTGGCTAATTTTTTTTTTTTTTTTTTATACAGAGTCTCACTTTGTTTCCCGGGCTAGAGTGTCGTGGCATCAGCCTAGCTCAAAGCAACCTCAAACTCCTGGGCTCAAGCGATCCTCCTGCCTCAGCCTCCTGAGTAGCTGGGACTACAGGCATGCGCCACCATGCCCGGCTAATTTTTTCTATATATTTCTAGTTGGCCAATTAATTTCTTTCTATTTTTAGTAGATGGGATCTCGCTCTTGCTCAGGCTGGTCTCGAACTCCTGAGCTCAAACAATCCACCCACCTCGGCCTCCCAGAGTGCTAGGATTACAGGCATGAGCCACCGCCCCGGCCCTGGCTAATTTTTTGTAGAGACCACGTCTGGTTATGTTGCCCAGTCTGGTCTCGAACTCCTGGCCTCAAGTGACCCTCCCCCCCTCGGCTTCCCAGAGTGCTAAGATTACTGGTGTGAGGCACTCTGGCCCATCCCAGTGAGGTTCAGATTCTTATATACCCTTCTTCACAGGGGAGGGGGAGGGAGATGAGGGGATGTAGGTGATTTTGAGGGGTAGTAAATTATTTTAGGGCAGATGAATGGGCCTGGGAGGTAGAAATTAGCTTGTAAATGATTCTTTTTGGAATTTGAGCCCGAGAGACAGACAACATCTTGCGACAAAGTCCATCTGGTTGTGGTTATATTCCTCAGTGTTTTTTCCTGCTATAGATAAAGAAAATTCAGGGAGGGGATAGAAGGCAATAGTGTTTGGTGGGTCTTATAAGCAGATAAGAAAATACCAGAGTAAAGATTCTCCCAGGATTTGCTGATCTCCAAGGGCCTTTGATTTAAATTATGGCATACATATGGGGTGCCATATTTTAGGGAACTACTTCAGTGATCTTAACCACCGCACTCTACTGCTCAGCAGTTACTGAATGTTTATTCCCCGCCCTGAGACCTGACAACTGTGTGAGGCAGACAGCCTTGGTCCCATTTTACAGACAGGCATTAGAACCAGAGAGAGATGACGTCACTTGCCCAAGTTGCACCCAGATGTTCACGTGAATAAATAGTAGAGGCCGAGCGCGGAGGCTCATGCCTGTAATCCTAGCACTCTGGGAGGCCGAGGCGGGCAGATTGTTCAAGGTCAAGAGTTCAAAACCAACCTGAGCAAGAACAAGACCCCGTCTCTACTATAAATAGAAAGAAATTAATTGGCCAACTAATATATATAGAAAAAAAAATTAGCCGGGCATGGTGGCGCATGCCTGCAGTCCCAGCTACTCGGGAGGCTGAGGCAGGAGGATCGCTTGAGCCCAGGAGTTTGAGGTTGCTGTGAGCTGGGCTGACACCACTGCACTCACTCTAGCCTGGGCAACAAAGCGAGACTCTGTCTCAAAAATAAATAAAATAAAATAATAAAATAAATAGTAGAGCTGGCAGGTTGACCTTAACTACACTATGTTGCCCCTGGGGGAATGGCCCCAGTGACCTTGGCTGAACTTGGTTATCTAAAGCCAGCCTGGTGAGGGAAGGCACAGGGGAGAGACCTTTGGCCACTCTGTCTGGAATTTGAGGGACTGTCGTGGAGAAGAGGTTGGGGGCGTGAGGGGTGGGGTGGGGAGCAGGGTTCTCAGGTGAGGGCTGTGGAAGGAGGCTGGTTGGTGGGGAGAGAGGGACAGTCATCCCAGCCCTGGCAGGGGCCCTGCAGTGAAAACGCCTTCCTGATCCTGGGGAAGGAGGAAGAAGGCTTCTTGCCAGCCGGGGGCCCCTTGAGGCCAGGGGAGGAGGAGAGAGAGACGGAAATAGAACCGAGGCAGGAGGGAGGGGCAGGGATCTGGGCAGACAGGGTGGGAGGCAGTAAGGACAGAGGCAGCAGAGAATCACAGGCCAGGAGGCTCCCTCTCCCTGTGGCCCGGCCACACTTACCTATGTCAGTAGTGACAACTGCTAGGCACTGAGAGCTTCCCATATGCCAGACACTACACTCACCAACCCTCCCCGATGCTTGAATAAAGAGCATGCAGCCCAGAGCACGGCACCTAACACTCCTGACACGGAGTTACTCCAATAATGAGCGTGATTGCATTTCAAGCCTGCAACAGACATGAGCAGTGTGTGCACCCAATTTTCTAGGTGAGGAAACTAAAGCTCAGAGGGGTTAAGCAGCTTGCCCGAGACCACACAGCCAGGAAAGAGCATGATTGGAAAGCTAACTGCTTCCAAACCCTGCACTCTTAACCATCAGAATATATGGGCTCCGATTCACTCGATAAGGCTTTATTGAGCATATATTATGTGCTTTGCCCCATGTGGGGGCTACAGCAGTGAACAGAATAGGCAGAATAAAACAAGAAAGCCCTGCCCCATGGAGCTTGTATTCTAGAGGGGAAGGAAGGAAATAAATAAGTAAGTCAATAATGCATGTCTGATGGCAAAGTGTTCTGCAGAGAATGAAAACAGGATGATGGCACAAGGAATGACTAAGAGGCCTACTTTAGGTTGGGAAGTAAAGGAGGGTGATGGTGGAGCTGAAGACATCCACTGTGGGAGGAGCAGGGAAAAACATTCCCGGCAAAGGGAACAGCATGTGCAAAGGCCCTGAGGTGAGAGTGTGCTGGTATGTTGGAGGCAGTGTGTCTGGCCTGGGGTGACAAGGCAAGTGAGAGGAGAGGAGGTGGGAGAAGCAAGCAGGAAGCAGTTTCTGCAGAACCTTGTGAACTGTGGTCGAGTGTTAACATTTTATTCTTCAGAGCTGTGCCTGATTTTCACCGAGACCCCAGCCTCAGCATGGGGTCTGCCTGCCTTCAAAACAAAATCAGGGGCTGGGCACAATGGCTCACACCTGTAATCCTAGCACTTTGGGAGGCTGAGGCAGGGGGATTGCTTGAGGCCAGGAGTTTAAGACCATCCTAAGCAAGAGTGAGATCCTGTCTCTACAAAAAATAGAAAAAGTAGCCAGGTGTGGTGGTGTGCGCCTATAGTCCCAGCTGCTTGGGAGGCTGAGGCATGGGGATCGCTTGAGCCCAGGAGTTTGAGGTTGCTGTGAGCTGTGATGATGCCACTGCACTCTAGGCAGAGCAACGGTGACACCCTGTCCTGTAAAAAAAAAAAAAAAAAAAAAAAATCAGGAACTGCTGTCTCAGAACTTGGTATCTATCCATTGACATATTTGGGGCCCAAAAAGTTTCTGGTCCAGGCCTTTGGATGACACCCTCCTCATCTTTCTTCTCTTGTAACCCCAAACCCTTTGTTTAATAGAGAGGTATTTATCAATGCCAATGTCATGCTTGTCTTTCAAAATTGAGAACCTTAGACCCAAGGAATAGGTACACCAGGTGAGAGAGCATGGTAGCATCCAAAGGGAGTGTTCGAGCATCTGCTCTGTGCCTGGCCCTCTGTGAGGCACGTCTCGCTCCCCTCTGCTTGACTCAGCTCAGATTCATCCCTTTCAACTGCACGTGGTGGGCAAAGTGGTCATTCATTTACAGACACAAACTCAATCCTTCCAGAGCCCAAAGGTAAAATGGCGGAATCTGTAGTCCTAAGAGAAAAATCCCAGGGAAGGGCTCTGATTGGCCTGACTGAGGTCACATGACCACCCCTGCACTGATTGTGGCATTTAAGGCAGTGGGATGCTTTGATTGGTTGCGGGTGGGGGGTGTCACATGTCCAGGGAGGTGTCACATGTCACATGTATCTTGGCAAGAGGGGGTTGCCAAATATTAAGTTGAACCGTATGAACTTGCCATTGTGTAGAAATTGTGGGATACTGGCAATTAACACGTGGTTAAATGTAAATAATCATCAGAAAAAGTAGGATAAGAAAGCTTTTTGAGCATATAGAAGCAATAGAAACCCCAGAGCATGATGCAGAAGGATTTTTGGAGGAGGAGGTGATCTTAGCTGAGACGTGGGGCATGAGTGGAAATTAGCCAGGTGGAGATGTGGTGGTGGGACAGTGGTGGCGAATGTCCCAAGAAGAAACAGCTTAAACAGAGGCTGTCCTGAGAGAGGACAAGGAAAGGCTTGTTGCTGTGCTTTGGGGCTGGAGTGCCATAATTTTTTTTTTTTTTGAGACTAAGTCTCACTCTGTTGCCCGGGCTAGAGTGCCGTGGCGTCAGCCTAGCTCACAGCAACCTCAAACTCCTGGACTCAAGCGATCCTTCTGCCTCAGCCTCCCGAGTAGCTGGGACTACAGGCATGTGCCACCATGCCCAGCTAATTTTTTCTGTATATTTTTAGTTGGCCAATTAATTTCTTTCTATTTATAGTAGAGACGGGTCTCGCTCTTGCTCAGGCTGGTCTCGAACTCCCAACCTCAAACGATCCGCCCACCTCGCCCTCCCGGAGTGCTAGGATTACAGGCGGGAGCCACCGCGCCCGGCCAGAGTGCCGTAA